AAGAGAGCCTGGAGTATCAAATTGTATGTGCGCAGATCAGGTTGTGAATGAGCACTGTTCCCCTTTTTTTCTAAAGTTGCATTCCAGCATTTTTTAAATAGTTGACTGATCTTTGACTTTATTGTCTCACAGTCTCAGAGTCACAAAAAGTAAGAAGGTGAAAATAGGACATAAGATTCAAACAATCTCTATAGTTTTCAAGATCTTCTTGCAAATCTTTGAAATCATCCTAGAAATTTTCTCGACATTTTTATACACTATTTCTGAAAGATCTGCTTGGAAATCTTAGTAATATACGTTGGTAGAAATTTCAGGTAGAAAGAATGTTTGTGTAAATCGAAAAAAAAAGGAAAAAGTTAAGTTTCAGAAGCATCTTCACCCAGCGTTTGTGCCATGTTCGGTTTAAAGAGTAGCGCAGGCGACGGGATATTAAGGCTTATGACGGTAAATAGAAGTTTCTGTTAAATTTATCTTGTTTCAATCGCACGCATGTATGTGGTATTTGTCATCTGGCCCTGAGTGGCGATTTTTACGTCAGTTTTGTTGATTGATTTTGTCAAATAAATGTTGTCGTCTCTAAATTACTAGCTTTGTGTTTACTCGAGCCGAAATTACGTCCCAGGTTATAATATAAGAGTTTCTCATGATGCCCAGGATTGCGTCAGGTATTAATTACAAATTTGTTAAATGATTCTTTGGGAGTGATCAAGACTTCTGAGTTTTTTAAATTAATAAAAGCTAAGACAATATTGAGATTTTTCGTGGTAGATTATACCGGACTTGTAAAAGTGTTTTGTTAGTACCCGAGTTTAATTGAGCTATCTGGACAAATGTCTACGTGGGCGGTTTAGTGACCATTTGCCATTGCACATAGCAATATACTTGCAAACTATTAGGAGTATGAGAAATATTCTGAAAAAGCACTTTTTCCAAAAAAATTTGTTGAAACAATCCAAAGACGATGTTGCAAAGATATCGGGGTTTCCTAAAATAGAAGTCATTCTAGGAAATTATAATAGAATGGACTTTCTATACCATCTTCTCCCTTATCTTTTGTGCACAAGGTTTATTAGTCGTGTTTTTATGATCTCCTTTAGAGAGCGTATTGGTTAGGTTGGTTTTTCACATTTTGTTGTCGGAATTCTTTTAGAGTGTACCCTTGGAGGTCTCCCTTGGCGGTTGCCTCTTAATACATTACACTGGGCGTCCTTTTTTCTCGGGTATCGATGTTTGTTAAATGGAGTCAACGTTGCTAATTGCTTCATGGATAAATTGTATAAGAAAAGCAAGAAATTTAATAGAAATTGGTAGTGGCTTTAACTGCAGACTGTGGACAGAATACCTTTTTTAAATAGAAAACTGACTGATTCAATCATCTCTTTTATTTTTAATCGCCCATTTTTACCACTAAACAATTTTTAAAAAGTTAAAAACCTTGTTTTATTGCACCATCCGGAAACAAAACAGTGTTGACGTTAATTAGTGCGAGAATATTTATTCAGCAATCAAACAAACATTGTTTTTAATTACAAAAAATTAGTTTAGTTTAACATAGGTACGTAAAATCACTCGAGACATTCGGCGAAACACGCCTTCAGATCCTCATCATCGTCCTTGAGATAACACTTCTTCCCATTTACGCAAGCTGTGTACACTTCAGGTGATGATAATGATGAACCTGTAAACACAGCTTTAGGAAAGATGTTATGCGTTGTCAGATTTTAAACAACAAACCCATTAAGGTAATAAAATTATTGTCGAGGTACTTCGACGATAAATTAAAGTGTATACATACCCACGTTTACCAACATAAACAGAACGGCTAATAATACAATAAGGAATCTCAACATTTTTCTGGTATTAATTGTGAAACTGTTACTGGAACCACGACTATTGAAACCTTTTATACCTCGCTGTCCAAAACAGAATTAATCTGCAGCAAAATAACATAGCGATAATGAATAAGTTTTTGAGATAGTTCGCTAATTTGTGGTCAAATTGATTTGTACAGGGTTCCGTAAATATTTGTCACAGTTAAATCAAAATTAAAATTCCTTTTTTTGCTAATAAATTGACTGAATTTCTTCCATTAAGAACAATTATGTGCAAAATTTTATGTCTTATAAGAGGATCAGTCATTGGAAGAGTTTGCTGGGTTGAATTTCACTTCAGCGGAACAGCATATCAATTTTCGCGATGGCTGAAAGATCATCCTCCTCTTTTTGAAAACTCAGAAATCATATCCATCGCAACGAGGGAGGTGAAAGTGAAGAATACTGACACTGCGGTTGAGCCTCTTCTCATTTTTCTACGGATCATTAAAGAAAGTGATGGGGGTATTGCCGAAAGCTTCAGCTACGATTCAACTCCGTATCCAATATAGCTCTTTGATGACTGGCATAAGTAACACGACAACATCCCCTTTCTATGACGTTTTTACTCCTTCGGACGATGACAATTGCTTTGCGTCAATGTACGGTTGTTGTAGATGAAGGATTCTTACTACATCGAGTACAGTGGAGCGACTGCACGACTTAATCTGGCGTACAAGAGCATTACATCGGTTACATCAGCAGACATGGGAAAAACTCCACCATCGTATTTGGCGGATATGATAAAGTGTCCACACGCACTAAAAATGCTGGCGAGCGCAGGCGAGCCAGGCTGAAGCACGCTGTTGATGTCAGTTAAGGATAACCTCCTCGTCACCCTGTAAACAAAATGTTTTCTGAACAAATGTCAGTAATAAAGTAAGATTAATTGCTGCCCTCATCCCAAAACTCCTGCACAGTGAGATTGGGGCTTTCAGGAGTAATGGGCACGCCATACAAAAGGTAGCTGAAAGTGACCAAGTTGTTGTGGTGGGGGAAGACGTGGACTTGCTGGTTTTGCTAGTTGGAATGGCTCTGGACTACACAAATATTCATTTTTACAATCAGTTTACATGCTGCATACGACCAAGAAAAAATTGAAATAATTAAAATAGTTCACAAAAAGCTTGAGCTTTTACAAATTTCACCACTGTTTTACAACCCAACCACCACATCAAAGGTCCTGTCTGAAGGTGGTAAAACATTATTTTTGAAATTGTCTGCGCTGCCCCCACCGTGTAGTCAATAAACGCCCCCTAAAACTAATGCCGTTGGAAATAAACGTTTCTTTCCATAATGCTCTATGTTGGCCATGTTTCCAATTTATCTGCTTGGTTTAACCAAATTAGTGGATGCTGTGGTTCTCACTTGAGATCCGCTGTATCTTCTATAACCGATCCTGTAATCTAAAAGAGGGGAAATGTATTTTACGAAAGTGAATAAACTATGGGAAACCCTAACTATTTATTTATTTAAATAATTTGAGCTGCCATGGGAAACCCTAACTATCGATTGAATATGTTCATTTCCCAGGTCCAGTATTAAAGGTAGTTTTACGCCTTGGTTTTTTAGGACCGCTTTACAAACTGGGTAGAAATAAAGTCGTTAAAACGCTCCTACAAGCGCAGGTGGTAATTAGATTGTAAAGACATAATCATTTATAAGTATGGACGCTCAATCCATAACCAGGTTATTCGAAACCGTCTTACGAGAATGGGGAATCAAACACCAGCTTACGCCACCCTATCCACCGCTGGCAAATCCTGTAGAAAAGGATAATGATTGCCCAAAGAGCAAAGAAAAACGCGAAAAATTGGTATGAGAGGTCGCATTTGCAATAAATACAGTAAAACACCAGTCCACTCAATTTAATACCGGTCTTTCTCAATTTTGGGAGAGAGATATTGAAGACGGGAATGCTGACCAGAGAAATGAAAGAATAAGAAAATAGAGAAGCACTGAGAGAAGAAGATCGATCGTCAATTGGAAAAATTAGAAGATATGAGACACCTAGCCAGGCTTTTCAATTACAAAAGCATTATTATGACCTACGGAGGAGACCGGACTCACAGTAGGAGATACCGTCACACTTGAATAAATGAAGAGGAATCACAACAAAAATAACACCAAAATTTTATGGTCTTCACAAGATCCACAAGGTAATTTCTAATAGATTGTCCTAATCTCATGAAAAAAATTATTATTATTGTTATGGCTCCGGTAAAACGTTCACAGTTAAGTCGCAAAGATTAATCAGTGGGTGAAAAATGAAGAATGCGAAAGGAAAAGGAAGTGTTTCGCCTACGTGACAAAAAGAAAACCGGCTGATGGCGATGGAACGAGAAAGGACTTATGTGGAAATCCATGCGAGGTTTTGCCAGGTTCTAGTGTTGGCGCCCCGAAGATTTTTAAAAGCATGTCAGGGCTGAAGTAACCGACACACCGTCACCAATGGTTAATTGGACACAGTTATCTATCTCAGAAGAGGATCTGCAAAGAGCCTGTATGGAGGTGGGCCAATAGAAGCAGAAGAAAAAGAAGTTAGTGTTTCGGATCCAGAGCAAAAGCTTCAGAGAACCTGTATGGAAGTGGGGCTGATCGAATTAGAAGAAAGCGAAGTTGTTGTCCACCAGTATCCAGGAGGGTGTGGAATTGCCAAGCAGCCAGAACACAAATTTCTCAGGGACAAGGCAACTCTCGCTTATCCTAACGCCAACACAGAAGCGCCTGTATTCACTCGCAAACAAAAGAGACATCGAATACGAATTGGGGACAAGAGACTTCGGATGCCGTGGGCAGCTACTCCAGGAAACCAGGCGGAAATTTATTGGGTGCTCTTCGCTCGGTAGTACAGCGATTGCCTTGACTTTAAGGCCCCCACCACCTTGTAAATACTATTCTTTTTTATTTTCCTTTTGTGCTTTCGTCCCCCTTTTAGGGACTTTTCTGTGTGCTATCTGGTAACCTCTTATTTCGAATCGGAATCGTCGCTATTATAGTATTTAAAGGAATTCGAAGTTCCTTACGTTCACAAAATTGCAACTGTATGCAGACAACAAATAGACTTATTTTTGTAAGGGAGAGTTATTTATTAATATATCTTCATTTAAAAATAATAACAATTGTGGTTAGGAACCCTTTGCCGCATTTTAACACGTTCTGCGTGAAGATCAATAAGCTACACGGCAAAATCTGGTATTATCATTAAATACAACTTAATATTATCACTCTCTTTTAATATACGTAAAATCACGGATACAATGCGAGGCATTCATCGAAACACGCCTTCACATCCGCTCGCTCCACTTTTAGGTAGCATTTCTTCCCATTTATGCATGCTGTGAAATCTTCAGCCACCGATGAATAACCTGTAAGAATAGCATTAGCAAAAGCAATCGCAATCGCGGTGATACATATGTTTTCACTCGACAGGTACATGGAACAATAAAAGAAATTGTGGGTTAGTGAAATGATAATAAATTTACTGTTAAAACACTACTAAAACACAACAGGTTACGTACCTAGGTTTATAAACATAAAAAGAACAAGTGAGGTAATAAGAATACCCAACATTGTCAGATCGCTGCTGAAACTACGACTACTGAAACCGCTTTTATATCTGAATAATATAAATTTGTTATTGTCGTCCATAACAAATAATCTGCAACAGGATTAGATGGCGATAATGTGCTGTGCAATATTAAAATAATCATTTTTAGTTCGCCAAATAATGGTCAAATTAATATGTTCGTTGATTATTAGAAAACCGCAGGATTTTGTAAATATTTGTCAAAGTTAAACTGCCCAGTTAAGTCTCCTAGGTCAAAGCAAAGGTGTTTTGAATTTTCCTTACTAAGAAAGAATACAAAGTGCAAATCAGGGAAATAAAGACAGAGGAAGATTTTTGAAGATGATAAACAGAGGAAAAAAGAAAAATAGAACAAGGGGGGGGGGGAATCTACAGAGACTACAGGGAAAACAAGAGAAAGGACTGAAGGAGATGAGAGGAGAAAAACGAGCGGCAATTAAAAAAATGTAAGAAGGAAAAGCGGCACGGAGCGTTGAAATAGGAAATGAGGCTTGGAATTTCGCCATAGAAAGGGTTAAGGAAAGAATGAGGAATTTAGTGAACAGTAACATATGGAAAGGAGGGGGCCTGAGGGGAATGGAAGGAAGGGCCAATCGTGTTTTTTTACATCAGAAGAGGTGGTATACATTGTGTGCAAAATTATAGGGGAATCATGATCATGGCGACGGCGTATAGGATCCAGGCAATGGTGCTGAGTGGAAGATTAGGAAATGATGGTGAAAGAAACACAAATAGGCCTCGGAAAAGGGAGGGGAAAGGTCGACTGTGTATACATATGTATATATTAACAGATGGGTGGAAGAGGAATGGGGAAAAAAGGGCGGAAAGGTGTTTGCGTTTTTCGTGAATTTAAAGACAGCGTTTGACAGAGTGGGAAGGGAAAAAGTATGGAAGATGATCGAAGATGGGAGAATAGCCAAGAAGCTAAAGGACAGCAGAATAGAACTATATATATAAAGCAAGATTGAGGGTGAGAATAGAAGGGAAGGAGTCTGAAGTGTTTTGGACATGTGAAGGACTAAGACAGGGATTCCCACTTGGCCTAAGCTTATTTAATCTCTATGGAAAAACACAGGGCCAAGTTTGAAGTGAGTAGTGAAAGAGAAAAGGCATTGGTAAAAATGTTTGGCAACGAGGATGAACGCAGAAGGAATGTGGGAGGAATAAAAAGAAAAATATTATGAAAAAAATGGATACCGACGGGCTGAGGTCGAAACGGTGAGACGAAGTAGTAGTTACAAGGATCTAATAAGGGAGTGGTTACCAAAATACTTATGGGAGGAAAGCAAAAATATTAAAATAATAACGAGATCCAAACGTGGAAATAAGGAGAGAGAAGGAGAAACAAGAAGAAAGAAAATGTAGTATCTGTGGAGAGAAAGAGGATGACTTAGAGCACATTCTATGGATTTGCAAGGAGCTGGAAAGGACGGGGAGTGATGTACCGGGAAGTGGATAACGAGGGTACCAAGGAAAATGAGAGAAACGCATTGATTTTAGGTTAATGTTCTGATAATTTAAATTCATAACGGTCACAATTTTAGAATTTTATCGACTTTGGAGTTCAGT